GACAAAGCCGAATTCATTCAATGTCTTTACACGACTTCCAGTAATCACTTGCCGTCCATCTACAAACCATTCCACAACCATTGTCGGGTCGTGTACTGGGGTTACCTAAAGCAAAAACTTACTTCTCTCCAGAAATTCGGAAATTTTACGTAAGAAAACATTTCTTACCTTAACATCCATATGGATATTATCGTGCTCGTTCAGATTTTGGTCTCTGAGGTCCCCTAGGATTTGAGGCGCAGCATCACAGGTGCGATCTTCAACCTCTGGGAGGCCTTGGCGACGATCTTGCTCAAGTTCCTGTAATGAAAACTTTAAGAAAAAATTGGTAAGATTAAAAAAGAGGTCGTTCGGGTTTATGAGCTTGATGACATTAACTTTGATCATATTTACATATTCATAAAATATACAGCTATTTTATAGCATTTATTTTCGATATAAGTATAGTCCAACTATTCTACTGACATTTAAAATAATTTTTACTCTTTTTATTGCAATATTCACTCCTTCAGTTGAAAAAAACATAATATAAGTATGAACGAAAAAAAACAAAGTAAGCTCTGCCCACCTGGATTCTCTGCAGTCCTTCGGGATGATTCGGGTCAAGGTAGAGAGTTTTAGAGCTGTTCACAATTAGGTCTAGGTTACATTGCGCTTCACCAAGCTCGTTTCTGGCTACCTAAACAGAGGCAATGTACCTCCCGGCAAGGATATGGAAATTTTGATCCAAAAAAACAGAAATAGCCTTACCAAAGTATAGGTTCCACTATCTTCAGGATAAGCATAAAGGATGTCCAGTGCAACATAGCCAAAATCAAACATTGGTCGGAATCGATGGGCTGCTGCCAATGGTGCGCCATTGTGATACCTAATTCAGAAAATTTCAGCTCCTTATAGAGAGTTTTTGAAAGCTTTCTGACCATTCCACGGTCATTTTCGGGTCATTGGCAGGTTGGAGTCTGGCTTCGAAATGGACTGGGTCATTTTCATTGCATTCAATCTTAGCTGACAATGGGCGAACAAAGCGAGGAGTGTCCAGGGATTGGAATTCTTCCGGGCGATCTACCTCTTGAGGCCCAATATGCACCTGCAAACCCAAATGCGAATTAGATTTAAAGCAACTAGTAAATACTTATATAAACATTTTCAATGAGATTTTCAGTGATGAAAGTTCCAGAAAAATTTTTCTGTTTAAAAAGAATATGCGTGTTGTAAAGAATTGAATAAACTTTTAGATTAAATCCCTTGATAGGCAAAAATTCTTTGAAAAGCGAGGAGAAAACAGAGAAAAGCTTTAAAAAAATTCTATCAATATACAAAATTTGTAGAATCTCTATTCAGTGATTAGGCTAAAAAATTTCATAATTAATCATGAAATGTATA